GATTTTAAGTGACTTTTGCCCCATTTTATGATTCTTTATTGCGACTGTCGTTAAGTGAATTCCTGCAGTTCTTAAGTTAGTAACACAGTGATTGAGGGAAGCTGGCCTCCCCCGTTGACTTTGCAAAAGGTGATCACATGACCCCAGGACACCACAACCGTCATAAGTACAAGTCAGTGGCCAAGTATCTGAATTTTGATCACATGACCATGGGGATACTGTGATGGTCATAGGTGTGAAAAAGCGGTCATCGGTCACTTTTTTCCCGGGGCCATTGTAACTTCGAGCGGTCACTAACTGAACCGTTGTAAATTGAGGACTTCCTGTAATGGAACAAGGGGGCCCTCCTACTTTTTACACAGTTTTGTCTTCTCAAATTCTCTTTTTTTCTCCCTCCTGGATTAAATGGAACGTAGATAATTCTTCACTGATTTTTCTTTACTCTTTTTTTTTAAAATAATGTTTTATTAATTTTCCAATTTTACATTTGAGTATTTAAAAAAGCAATGTGGTGACTGGGTTAATCAATAGTTCAATAACAAAATCTTTAGTGCAAATCTCAGGTTACAACATCAAATATTTCTTCTCTTTTTCCCTTAACATTTACTGTCTCGTATTCAAGCCAGTACATTTCTAATTATATCAACTCAATAAAAACATTATTATTACATTTATCAATAAATGTTTAGCTTGTACATATCTTCATTACATTCAATCTTCATAAACAATCCATATCCTGTTATTAATTTTTGCATAATTTTTAATTTCTCATCAATATTCCAATTTAACCTTTGATATCCATAATTTTCAGACTTTGAGTAACCAAGATTTCCCTTATGTCACTTCATTACAAACTATAATATCCCAAATACACATTTTATCTATTTAAATATAATATAATCTTGTTCTATTTCCTAAAAGTTATCTATTTCCCACCGTATTAAATCATCTACTTAATAATACAACGTCCCCTTTAATAAATCAAAACCATTATATATATATATATATATATATATATATATATATATATATATATATATATATATATATATTTTGCCTGGGTTTTCTTTATTCTTAATACAGTAATGTGATTTTTATTTTTATTTTTTACTGATTTATTCCTGCCTGTATCTAGGATTGATGTAAACTAAACAATTATGATTTGCTTCGTAAACAATAGTTTGAAAATCTCGGTTAACATTATACATATATATATATATATGAATACAGTCACTGCTTTTGTCTGCATCTGTTCTGTTCCGGAATATTTTAGAGTAGAAGCATATCTAACATTCCTCCCCAATCCCTTCTGAAAGAGATGGCAATATTAAGTCTTGCCGGCATCTGACATCTGCTTTTCAAAGGGGAAACAAAAGTGATGTGGGGTTACATCTGAGTTGTCCATATATAATACAGGTGCAGATTAGAATCCAGGTCCTATTAATATCCTGAATGAACATTCACTAAGTAGAAAAATACACTGTTTGCCTCACACTGTTATGAATCACAAGCATTTGAAGGCCTTGCATGTTTACAGGTCAGTTCAGATCAGGTATGATTAATTATACTGATGAATGTTTACACCTTTGTAAAATTTTACCTCATTTGTGATTTACAAACTAATCCAGGGGTAGGCAACCTTGGCTCTTTTATGACTGGTGGACTTCAACTCCCAGAATTCCTGAGCCAGCCACGCTGAGGGGAAAGGGAGAGGTTTCCAAACTGAGCCATGCTGGCTCAGGAATTCTGGGAGTTGAAGTCCACCAGTCATGAGGGGGCCATAGTTGCCCCATGCTGGCTCAGGAATTCTGGGAGTTGAAGTCCACAAGTCATAAAAGAGCCAAGGTTGCCTACCCCTGCCCAAATGCCTGAATTTTGATCACGGGACCATGAGAAAAAAATATTTAAATATTTAAACCAGGGGTCTTCAGACATGGCCCTTTTATGACTGGTGGACTTCAACTCCCAGAATTCCTGAGCCAGCATGGCTCAGCTTGGCAACCTCTCCCTTTCCCCTTAATGTGCTTGGCTGAGGAATTCTGGGAGTTGAAGTCTACGAGTCATAAAAGAGCCGAGGTTGCCTACCCCTGAACTAGACCAAGAGTCTCCAAAGGTGGCAACTTTAAGACTTGTGGACTTCAACTCCCAGAATTCCCCAGCCAGGCTATGGCTGGCTGAAGAATTCTGGGAGTTGAAGTCCACAAATCTTAAAATTGCCAAGTTTGGAGATCCTCGAACTACACCAATCCATCCCATCCCGTTCAGCCAGGGAAAGGACATGGTAGATCCTATCCATTAAAGAAATCTGACTGGCAGGATCCAGAAAGAGACTCTGCTCTGCTCTTGCCCCTGCCCTGTGGAATATTCTGCCTCCCCAGGTGAGGGGTCCCCCAGCCTTTCCAGCTTGGTGGTGCGAGGGGGGGGGGCAAGTGAGCGGTGAGCACACACGCTCCGCTCCAACTCTGTGAGCAGTGGGCACGCACGGCCTCATACACCTGGAGAGAATGCTTGTGCTCGTGCACAAAGCTCCGCTCACAAGCGGAGGGCGCTTGTGCTTCCACATGAAGTTCCACGTGCGTGACCACTCCACCCATGAATGGAGCTTTGTGCGTGAGCAGAAGGTGCTTGCGCTCGCGCACAAAGCTGGACTCGTGCGAGGGGAGGGCGTTTGTGCTTCCACGCAAAGATGCACTTGTGTGAGGGCACCTGTGCTTCCATGCAAAGTTCCACTCATGCGAGCCCTGTCTTACCCCACAGTGTCCCTCTGTGAGAGAGATGGGCGGTTTAAAAACCTGACAGTCAGAGGTAGGTAGGTAGGTAGGTAGATATATAGATAGATGGATGGATGATAGGTAGGTAGATAGACAGATAGATAGATAGATAGATGATAGGTAGGTAGGTAGATAGATAGATAGATAGATAGATAGATAGATAGATAGATAGAATATGTGATTAGATAGACAGAGATGTAAATAGATGGATAGATAGATAGATAGATAGATAGATAGATAGATAGATAGATAGATAGATAGATAGATAGATAGATAGATAGATAGATAGATGTAGGTAGGTAGGTAGGTAGGTAGGTAGGTAGATAGGTGGATAGATAGATAGATGATAGATAGATAGAGATAGATGTAGGCAGGTAGGTAGATAGAGATAGATAGATGGATGGATGTACGTAGGTAAGTAGGTAGGTAGGTAGATAGGTGGATAGATAGAATATGTGATTAGACAGACAGATCAATAGGTGTAGATAGATTGATTGATTCCAGAAACTTTCAGACTGTCAGACAAATACCGAGAACTGTGATCTTTTTGTCGGCCTATTTTCAAAGTAACCACAATCTTAATCTGTGCATCCAAGCAAAGGAAAGGGTGAATAGCAGCTATTCAGCTTCTTACCTTACCCGTGCAGAAGGTTAGATCCCAAGCTGTTCCCATTTTGTTCCTGTTGGAATGCCTACAGGGGTCAACAGCCACAAATTGGGCCCAACATTTTTGTTGCGAAACAGTTGAATTTTACAACCTTTCCTGGCCCCCGCTGTTAAGTGAATCGCTGCGGTGGTTAAGATAGGGACATGGTTGTTAAGTGAATCTGACTTCCCCGTTCATCTTTGCTCGCCAGAACGTCGTAAAAGGGGATCGCATGACACCCCTTCCCGGGACACTGCAACCATCATAAATATGAGTCAGTGGCCAGGCATCTGAAGTTGAATCACGTGACCAGCGGGGCTGCTGCAGTGATTGTTAAGAGTGGAAAAACAGTCATAAGTCACCGTTGTAACTTGGAATGATCACTAAACGAACCGTCATAAGTCGAGGACAGACTTTGGCCCTGGACCTCGCTAGGCGTGCCTGAATTATTTGTCGCCGCTGATCGTAAAAGTTGTGAAAAAAATAAAATAGGACGAGTGTGAAAATCCCTGGGAGATGAGTCAAGATATTTTTGCATCTTTTTGTAAGATTTTTTTTTTTTTTTTGCAGTTCGTACCAGGCAGAGAGGTGGAGAGAGATGATGCAGCACATTCCTTGCAAGCCCTCATTATAGTGCAAATTCAGACAACTTGCTCAGGCAGGCAGAAGGAGAGTTTCTCATTTATTTTATTTTATTTTATTTTATTTTGGAACCCTGCTTTATATTTAGTTGGTTTTCTCGCCTCTTCCGTTCGGAAGGTAGGAGGTGATATATCAAGTGTCAGATAAATTGGATGTAGGAATAGGGCTCTACTTTTATTGAGTCTCTGCGTGGCAGAAGAGAAGGACGTTAATATTTTTCAATAGTCCACCTTTCCCTTTTTAGGGAAATCTAGGTCTTCATAATCATAATAATAAAGTTGGAAGGGACCTTAGAGGTCATCTAGTCCAACCCCCTGCTCAGGCAGGAAAACCTATACCATTTCAGACAAGTGGCTGTCCAGTCTCTTCTTAAAAATTTCCAGTGTTGGAGCATTCACCGCTTCTGGAGGCAGGTTGTTCCACTGGTTAATTGTTCTCACTGTCAGGAAGTTTCTCCTTAGTTCCAGGTTGCTTCTCTCCTTGATGAGTTTCCATCCGTTGCTTCTTCTCCTGCCTTCTGGGGCTTTGGAAAATAGCTTGACTCCCTCTTCTTTGGGGCAGCCCCTGAGATACTGGAAGACTGCTATCATGCCCCCCCTCGTCCTTCTCTTTATTAAACTAGACATACCCAATTCCAGCGGCCGTTCCTTACATGCTTCAACCTCCAGTCCCCTGATCATCTTTCTTGCTCTTCTCTGTACTCTTTCTAGAGTGGATAACTAGAGATGAAATATACGTAATTGGATTCTGACAGAAATATAGAATAGAATAGAAATATAGAATAGGAGAGAAATATAGAATAGAACAGAAATATAGAATAGAATAGAAATATAGGAGAGAAATATAGAATAGAAATATAGAATAGAAATATAGGAGAGAATAGAAATATAGGAGAGAAATATAGAATAGGAGAGAAATATAGAATAGAAATATAGAATAGGAGAGAAATATAGAATAGAATAGAAATATAGAATAGAATAGAAATATAGAATAGAATAGAAATATATGTAGAATCCACCAATGGGTTAACTCTGCCTTCCTGCCCATTAGCCAAATTTGTCACGCCCTTCCTTGGGTGGCCACTCCCCATTCTTTAACTCGGTTTTGGCCCAGACGGACGTGATAAAATTGGCTCCCGGTCTAAGGCAGGTAGTAGATATTAATTCCTTGGTGGATTCTCTCTATATTCTCCATTCACAGCCTTTTTCAACAGCGCTGGGATCAGCGCTGGATGAAATAGGCTGTAAAAAGACAAGGAAGGGTTTTGTTTTTTCCCTCTTTCCTCACTCCTATGCAAATCTGAGGCTCCTTCGTGGCTTTATTCAAGATAAAGCGAGGGAAAACAAACTGCCTGCGCAGCGCTTAAGCAGCGGATCGGCTCCTTCCCGGGGCTTTCCCCCCCTTTGTTTTAGCGGCTAGGAGTCCTGCCGGCTGCCCTTTGCAGCGCCTAGCTATCTGAAAGGGGGGAGGGAGTGATCTAGCGGCAGCGCCTTCGGATTGGGAGGTTTTTTTTTTTTCCGGCGAGATCGCTGGATTAAACGGAGCGATCGTTTTTCCCTTGTGCCTCCCTGCTGGCTCCGCCCGCCATTTTGGAAAGCGGAGCACGCCGCGGCGACCGGAAGCGGCCTGTTTCTTCTTCCGATTTACATTTCCCGCCACTGGAGCTGCGGCCGGGCAAGCACCGCCCACTCTTCCTGTCCAGAGACTTGCTCCGGTTGCCATTTTTTCCCCCCCTTTTCAAATCAAACCGTCTCCACAGCCCCTCCCATCCTCAGCGCAGTGGTTCACGGGATTGATTCAATCCTTGGCAGTTTTGAGTCAATTGATTGATTAAATAATAATTGATTCAATCCTTTGCCTTCATCCTTCCCCCACCAGCAGGGAAGAGCTGCAGGAAAGCTCCCTTCTCCCCTTAACACACATCCTTTCTTTTCCACTCCTCTCTCCCTATTCTCTTTAACAGTAAATAATAAACCCAGAACAGATATTAATAGACATTGACATTACAGAATAGCAATTAATAGCAATTAATAATAAAATAATTAACAATTAATAACAAAGACTACTAATAGATACATAAATACAATCTACTCCATCTCACAATCCATTCCCAGAAACGCCTACCAACCAATCTGGTGCAAACTGTTCACCTGACCACATTAAGCATACCTGCAGTCTACAGCGAGCAGCATTGCCACAACAGTAGGCAGACCGGACAACCTCTGACCACTGGTCCAGTGGTCAGAAGAGCAAGACGACCACTCCCTGTTGCACCTGTTCAGCCTCTCTCGCCAACTGATCCCCGGCCAGACCTCCCTCTCGTTGCCACTGAGAAAGCTCCATCCAGGATGGAGGAGTCCACGTTGTCTCAACCCAAGAACACCGCCTCCCTTCCCACCAGCCACAAAAGACAGAAATCCTCCAAGCAGGAGGCGGCAGGCAGGATCAAAGCCAAAGCTAAGTCCGTTTCTGGAGGGAAACCTTCCAAGTTGGAGGAGAAACTGGCTAAGAGAAGGCACCAAGCTCTGGAGAGGGAATTCTCCAGAGCGCAAAAGCGGGCCAGGATAAAGGCGGAGCAAGTGGAGGAGGCGCCTTTTGATCTTCCCTTGGGACCCTCTACTCAAGGGGCGTGGTTTCCGGAAAGGTCAATCCAGAACCCTAAAGAGGAACGGCCCCAGGCAGCCACCCCTGAAGCCACCTTCACCCCCACAGCGGCAGGGCTGAGGAGGACGGAGACCAAAGGTGTCCCCTCCAAGGACTGGTTCCAATCCATAACCAAGCAGGCTTTCGACAGACTGCTGGCTGCTACGGTCAACCAGGGGTCGAGATCCAAACCCGTGACCGCCATGACGCCATCCTTTTCCCCACAAGGGGAAACCGGACACTGGGAACCCGCCTCTCTACCACGGTCCTTTATAAGGAGGGATTCCTCTCGTAAGGTTAAGCAACAGCAATTGTTATTGTCGGAGGACGAAGACCCTACCCCAGATCCACCCCGCTTCAGTGGGCTATTCAACCCTTCCTTCTACCTTCCGCTGCTCCGCAAAGCTAGTGACACGGCCAACGTTGGACCGGACCATACCCCACAGCTAGACCCACCGTCCAGGATAAACCGATTGTTTTGCAAACCAGTCGTGGTCCAGCACCACGTTCCCTACCCGACTCTCTTTCAGAATGAGATTAAGGAACAATGGTCAGCACCGGGCACCTTTCCCCCCCTAAGGAGAACAGTCAAGAAACTGTTGAGCACAGCGCCACAACAGTCAGAGGACCTTGAGGTGCCAAAGGTGGACGAACCCTTAGGGTTTCTTTTCTCCCCGATCCCAGCGTCGGGGGACATGGCGGAGGTCCTACAGTCCGATGACAAGAGATGGGAAATTGCCTTCCGCAGGACCCACCAGGCAGCGGCGTGGGCTGTAAAAGCCGCCACTTGTGCATCCTTCTTTGCACGCGCCTCCTTATCTTGGATTTGCCAGATGCAAAGTAGAATTCCCCAGCAGGAAGTACAGACGCAACAAGACCTGAGCACGCTGGCCGCTGCATCAGAATATGTTTCTGATGCCACACTACACGCGGCCCGGTTCTCATCCAGAGCCTTAGCATCCAACGTCTCAGCACGTAGGATGCTATGGCTCAAACACTGGCAAGTCGACCCAAAGGTCAAGTGGCACTTAGCCTCGGCCCCGTACCAGGGTGGGCAGCTGTTTGGAGAAGCTTTGAACCCTTACTTGACCGAAAACAAGTACAAACGTAAGGTACTGGTCCATTCCACGGGCACGGGTTTTTCTCAACCACCCTGGGCCCCCACACCTAGGCAGGACCGTCAACCAGACAGGTCTGGATTCAGAACCAGGTACCAGGGCCAGAGCCAACGGCCCTTTTGGGAGGGGGGACACCCCTACAGAAGGTTCAAGTGACTCTCAACCCCCCCACCCCCACCCATAGGTGGCAGACTGGCGCTATTCTCCCGCCAGTGGGAAGCCACCACCATGGACTCCTGGGTCTGCCAAACCATCTGCTACGGTTTGTCTCTAGAGTTCATATCCAGTCCCCCAGAACACTTCATCTCTTGCCCCCAAGCCAGAAACCCCGCCAAAAGCAATCTCATGCGGGAGGCCATCCGGCATCTCCTAGAGATAAAGGCCATAGAACAGGTTCTGGTCGGAGACCGGGGGTGGGGGTTCTACTCCATCCTCTTCGTGGTTCCGAAGACCTCGGGGGGGGGGGTTGGAGGGCAATCCTGGACCTCAGGCCTGAACCATCGCATTGCCTACCGAAGATTCAAAATCTTAGAATATTTGCTCAATGCCCTAGTCAAGGGCCTTGTCCCCAATACCATCTGCAGACAGGTCGCGGCACTATCCACCTTACTTACATGTGCAAACTCAGCTCCCTTGGCACAACACCCCAGAATCCGTGCTTTCCTTAAGGGAGCCACCAACACAAAGCCACCCGTAGTCCACAGGTATCCCACCTGGGAATTGCCACGAGTCCTCCGGGTCCTCACCAAGGCACCGTTCGAACCCATCAAGCCGTGTACCCTGAGGGACTTGTCTCTCAAGGTTGTTTTCCTGGTCGCGGTCACCACGGCCAGGCGCATATCGGAACTCGCGGCACTGTCGGTCAGGGGGAACCTCCGCTCCTTCCAGCAAAACCGTGTGATCCTTTTGCTTGGACCCAACCTTCGTTCCCAAGGTCAACACCACGTTCTATAGGGCCCAAGAAATAATCCTATCGGATTTCTGCCCCAATCCGGCCCATGCCTTGGAACGACAGTGGCACGCACTGTACGTTCGCAGGGCACTGCGATATTATATCAAGCGAACGGCGCCCTTCCGCAAGTCGGAGGCCCTATTCGTCTCATTTCATCATACCTCTAAGGGGCAGAAGGTAATCTGCTTCTACTATAGGCAGGTGGATCAGGACCTGCATTGTGGAAGCATATCAATCCCTGTCTCTACCAACACCAGGGCAGATCACAGCACACTCCACTCGTAGTGCTGCGACCTCTGTGGTGTGGGCCACACAGGCCTCTATCGAGGAGGTCTGCAGGGCGGCGACATGGTCCTCGCCCTCTCCATTCATCTGACTCTACAAGATAGACCGCTTCGCGTCCGCGGACGCTTCCTTTGGAAGGGGGGGGGTTCTCCAAGAGGTAATCATGGGGGACGTAACAGCGGCCTCTCCGGTTCCTCTCCCATTGGGACAGTAAGCTTTTGGTTTGTCCCATTGGTGGATTCTACATCTCCTGTGCTGGAGAAGGGGCGTTGTCTTACCTGAACGCCTTTTCTCAGCACAGAGATGTAGAATCCACTCCCACCCTTAAGAATAACTAGTTCATATTAGGAAACCGGGAGCCAACACGTTCAACTCCAGTCAGCTTCACCCTCGTCAAAAGAATGGGGAGTGTTCACCGAAGGAAGGGCGTGACAAATTTGGCTGACTGGGTCTAATGGGCAGGAAGGCAGAGTTAACCCATTGGATGGATTCTACATCTCCGTGCGGAGAAAAGGCATTCAGGTAAGACAACGCCCCTTCTTAAAATTAGACTATCTAGCCTAGAATAGAATTAACAGATTGTAGAATAGAATAGAATAGAATAGAATAGAAATATAGAATAAGAGTAGAGTAAGAGTAGAATAGAAATAGAAAAGAATAGAGGTGTCAAACTCAATTTCATTGAGGGCTGCATCAGCATTGCAGTTGCCCTTGGGGGCCGGGTGGGTGTGGCCTACTGGGTGGGCATGGATGGAGTGGGTGTGGCCTACTGGGTGGGCACATGTCAAGGGTGCCTACTGGGGTGCGTCAAGGGTGCCTATTGAGTGGGCCTGGGCAGGAGTGATACAGATCTGAGGGTCTCTGGCACAAGGGGATGGGACCAGGGCAAGCGCCAAGGCATGTTCTACTGGAAGAGCCTGCTGAAACCCCTCCCCCAGAGCCCATCAAGCCAGATATGTGAAGTAGGTGAGGGCCATTTCTGGCCACTTCCAGGCAATGGTCCATTTCTTCATTCCTCACAAAGGGGGACCCCTCCCCAGCATGCACCCAGGGGGCGGGGCCGACGCGGCAGGGGCCGGTTCCTCGCTGTTTCCAGACGGCCTTGTGGAGCTAAGACTGAATGCGTTTCAGCATAGATGGCCACCACAAAATTGTACATTGGCTCCCGGCCGGCCTGGGCCAGGGCCAAAGCAGCGGGGGCCGTTCCCTCACTGTTTCCAGGATGGCTTCGTGGGCCACATGAAACCACTTTGCGGGCCACATCCGGCCCCCGGGCCTTGTGTTTGACATGTCTGGAATAGAATAAGAGTAGAATAGAATAGAATAGAATAGAATAGAATAGAATAGAAAATAGACTAGAATAGAAAATAGAAAATAGAACAGAATGGAATGGAATGAGATTTCGTTGCACACCGCTCTCAAAAGGGTCACCACCTCCAATATACACTGCATAAATAAAATAACCACAACAACAGCCTTTTGTACAAATCTAGGCATTTGTGTTGGAGTGAGAGAGATACTTTATGCCCTTCATTAGAACTGCTTTTAAATGTTAAAACTCTTCCGCCATGGTGTGGAATATTCCCTGTTTCTCAGAGGTCTATTATTTGGAAGAAAAATAGGAAAAGACCAGGATGGCAAAAAAAAAAAAAAAAGAGGGAAATAGAGAATGACAATCAAAGAAACGTGCAGCGACGGCAGAAATATGTAGCCTGTGTTGGTTCCACGGTATATTTCTCATAAAAGGCCTCGAGGCAAATGCAGCTTTCCGCTTTTCATTTCTCCAAATATTGATAAGAATTTCTCGGTAGGTCCTGACCCAGAAATGGGAAGGTGAGCATATACAGGCAGTTCTCAACTTACGACCGTAATTGAGTGTGCAGTTATAGTCGTGAATTGGGACATCATACGGCCCTGCCTGATTTTACGGCCTTTTTAATCCTGAATGTTAAGGGATTGCTGCAATCACTAAGGAAACCCATTGCCTGTTGTCTGGTGTGTTGTTTTTATGTTGTTGTTGAAAATCAGAAGTACATTTCAATTTCTGGAAAAAAAAATGTTATAATAGTGAATATCTGTAGCTCGGGTGAATTGTAAGCTTGGAGCCCGGAGGGCAAAGAAAGCTTCATCCTCAAAATGTTATATATTATGGTCATGTGACTTTGGGACACCGCAAATGGCCATCAGTAGGAGGCCTGTCCGTCAGAACTTCGACTCTCGGTCTTTCTTGGGATCTGTTGTAAGTTCAAATGGTCAGTAAGCAACCAGTTGTAAGTTAAAGACTACCTATATAATAACAGAGCTTTTTCAGATTTTGGGTGTGATTTATAGGAGTAACATTTAAATTCTTGTGCAAATTTTAGTCTCTCACAAATATCTGTTTCTAGGGCAGTGGTTCTCAACCTTTTTAATGCCGCAACCCCCCAACCGGTCGTAAGTCGAGGACTACTCGACTGGTGCAGCACCGTTTGCAGAATGGGACTTTTGGCGGGCTCAGCAGGGCAGAGACAGCCTGGACAATTCCTATTGGCTTTGGAAAGCCAATAGAATTAGAGTCTATTCAAGAGAGTCTATTCTATTGGCTTTCAAAAGCCAATAGAATAAAAGGGAGTAGCAAAGCTAAGGAAAAGGGGAAAAAATGGCAGACTGCGTTGTTTGGCGACCCCCGTGAAATGGTCGTTCGAACTCAAATGGGGTCCCGACCCACAGGTTGAGAACCATTGTTCTAGGGAATGATCTTCTGCGTGAGACCAACCAACTTCTTGCCTTCTCAATATGTTTGCCTGAAATGGGACAGGGTTTCCTGCCTGAGCAGGGGGTTGGACTAGAAAACCTCCAAGGTCCCTCCCAACTGCTCCTCTTCCTCCTCCTCCTCCTCCTCATCATCATTATATTATTTGATTTGTCAACTGAATTAATGATACAATTACAAAAATATTCTGCTACTAGTGCAGTTCTGGACATGACTATTCAGAAATAAGCCCCATTGTAATCTTTGGAATTTACTTCTACTTTGATTTTTAGAATTGCAATCTCTACGTGAAGTAGTTTATGGTCCAACACTTGTCTGAAATGGCCTAGGGTCTCCTGCTTGAGTAGGGGGTTGGAGTAGAAGACCTCCAAGGTCCCTTTCCAACTCTGTTATTCTGCTTTCCTTCCTTCCTTCCTTCCTTCCTTCCTTCCTTCCTTCCTTCCTTCCTTCCTTCCTTCCTTCCTTCCTTCCTTCCTTCCTTCCTTCTCCCTTTGTTTTTCCTCTCTTCCCCCTCCTTCTGTCCTTCCTTCCTTCCTTCCTTCCTTCCTTCCTTCCTTCTCCCATCTTTCCCTCTGTCTTTCCTTCCTTCTTTCTTTTCTTCCTTCCTTCCCCCTCCTTCCTTCCTTCCTTCCTTCCTTCCTTCCTTCCTTCCTTCCTTCCTTCCTTTCTTCTCCCTCTTTCCTTCTTTCCTTCCTTCCCCCTCCTTCTGTCCTTCCTTCCTTCCTCCCTTCCTCTTTCTGTCCTTCCTTCCTTCCTTCTCCCTCTGTCTTTCCTTCTTTCCTTCCTTCCTTCCCCATCCTTCTATCCTTCCTTCTCCCTCTGTCTTTCCTTCCTTCCTTCCTCCTCCTTCTGTCATTCCTTCCTTCCCCCTCCTGTCCTTCCTTCTCCCTCTCTTTCCTTCCTTCCTCCCTTCCTCCCTTCCTTCCTTCCTTCCTTCCTTCCTTCCTTCCTTCCTTCCTTCCTTCCTTCCTTCCTTCCTTCCTTCCTTCCTTCTCCCTGTCTTTCCTTCTTTCCTTCCTTCCCCCTCCTTCTGTCCTTTTTCTGTCCTTCCTTCCTTCCTTCTCCCTCTCTTTCCTTCCTTCCTTCCTTCCCTCCCTCCTTCCTTCCTTCCTCCCTTCCTCCTCCTTCTGTCCTTCCTTCCTTCTCCCTCTGTCTTTCCTTCCTTCCCCCTCCTTCCTTCCTTCTCCCTCTGTCTTTCCTTCCTTCCTCCCTCCCTCTGTCTTTCCTTCCATCCATCCATCCATCCATCCATCCATCCATCCATCCTTCTCTCTCTCTTTCCTTCCCCTTCTTTCTGTCCTTCCTTCCTTCCTTCCTTCCTTCCTTCCTTCCTTCCTTCCCTCCCTCCCTCCCTCCCTCCCTCCCTCCCTCCCTCCCTCCTTCCTTCTTCCCACTGGAGGTTTTCAAGAAGAGATTGAACAACCATTTGTCTGAAATGGCATAGGTCTCCTGCTTGAGCAGGGGGCTGGACTAGAAGACCTCCAAGGTCCCTTCCAACTCTGTGATTCTAATTTCTAATACGTCTTCATCTGTTTTGTGGGGGTACAGGCATCCTCAACTTGCAACCATTTGTTTAGCGGCCATTTGAAGTTACAACGGCACTAAAAAAAGTGACTTATGACTGGGTGTTTTTTTTTTTTTTTACACTGACGACCGTTGCAGCATTCCCACAGTCACGTGATCAACTGCCTTGGCAACTGGCTCATATTTACGACAGGGTGCAGTCTCCCGGGGTGACGTGACCCCCTTTTTGCGACCTTTGGACCAGCAAAGTCGAGAGCTGTGTGGGCAACCTGACCCCTGCTGTGATTCCCTTAATAGTGGCAACAAGAAAGGTCGTAATACGGGACAGAACCCACTTGACTTGCTTAGCGCCATAAATGTGGGGCTCAGTTGCGGCCATTTGACAGGACTTCCTGTAAACGTTAGGCCTAATCCATCCTTGATTTTAGCAGCTGTCGCTTGAGGCAGTGGTCCCCAGCCTTAGGGCTGTGGCCCCCTCCAGGTCCTGAGCCATTTGGAACCGGGCTGTGGAAGCGGCGGGCGAGTGCGCATGTGCGCCTCCCCACTTTGTGAACAGCGGGCGAGCGCCTGTGTCTGTGCTCCAATTGTGTGAATGGCAGGTGCGATTGTCCGTTTAGGCTGGGCTGGTCAGGGGAGAGGAGGGTGTGCTGGATGGCCAGGCAGAAGCAGCCAAAACATTGGCAAACCTGGCCACTATAAGTAAGACTGGTGGACTTCAACTCCCAGAATTCCCCATTGAGAAATTATTGGAGTCGGAGTCCACCCCTCTTAAAGCATGCTGGCTGGGGAATTCTGGGAGTTGAAGTCCACTCCTCTTAAAGCCTCCTGGCTGGGGAATTCTGGGAGTCAGAGTCCACCCTTCTTAAACCATGCTGGTTGGGGAATTCTGAGAGTCGAAGTCCACCCCTCTTAAAGCCTGGCTGAGGAATTCTGGGAGTTGAAGTCCACCCCTGTTAAAATCTCCTGGCTGAGGAATTCTGGGAGTTGAAGTCCACCCCTGTTAAAATCTGGCTGAGGAATTCTGGGAGTCAAAGTCCACCCCTCTTAAAGCCTCCTGGTTGGAGAATTCTGGGAGTTGAAGTCCAGCATTCTTACAGTGGCCATGTTTGCAAATGAAGTCCACAGAGCTTACACTGACCAAGGCTGAGTAACACTGACCTGGTACAGTATCCCTGGTTGTATCCCTGGTTTATACAGCTACTCCTCGCCTTACAACCACAAGTAAGCCTGCAATTTCATTTGCAAGTCAGAACAGTCGTAAAGCAAGTCCTGATGAGACATTATGAAGGTTACAAATGGCGGTCGCATGATCCCAGGACCCTGCAGCCGTCACAAATACATGTCAGTTGCCAGGCCCTCGAAATTTTGATCAAGTGACCATGAAGCTGCTCCTGTCAGTTGGCAACGCGAGGACCAGTTGGAAGTCACTATTTTCCACTGGCGTCGTAATTTTGACCTATCATGAAACGAATGGTTTAAGTCTGATTACCTGTGCTAAAGTACAGGTATCCTGAGTGAGCCTATCTCCTAGCTGATGTGATGCAGGGAATGGTTTATTGGCTTGCTCTCTAGTTTACAGAACTTAGCATGTGTAGAAAAGTGTGAGAAATTTTGTACAGGCAATCCTCAGCTTAATGACCATTCATTTAGTGTGTCATGGTTCCGACAGATGAAACTCTTCAAAAGAACTTCAAGGCATTGTTTACCTTAAAGGATCTTTATTTTGAGGAACATAATATCGGCACTGCATAATCAAAGCCAAAAACTGAATTCCCCTCCCCCGAGCACATAGTATCAAAGCACAATTCCCTCCAATTAACAGTCATAAACCACATTCCCCAATTAGCTTGAAACGCAGGCTTCCTCTCCAGTTTTCCAGCCCACCAATTCCTTATCAGCTCTGAGTTCAATAACCTTGATTCTCACGCTAGGTTCAGTGTTGTTACATCTAGCTGGACTCTGGTTCACATCCCCCCCTCCCAGCATCATCTAATTTTAAAAGCGAAAGGGAAAAAGATGGCTACATTTCCATCTGCTGTCAGTGCAAAAACATCCGATGTGAGCAGCGTTGACATAGTGGCTGTTCAGAGTTACAATAGCACTGAAAAGAAATGTGACTTACAAGCATGGCAGAATCCCTGTAGTCACGTCACGTTTGAGGACCCCTGCTTTAGGGAACTGAAAGTGGGTTGTTTGTTCTGAGAAATCTTTTGTCCTGTCCTCAGAAGCACCCAGATCCGTGCGCTGCGCAAGGAGAACAGAACATTTTGCACATCGCCGCTTAAAGCTTCCGTACGGTTTGCAACGTCCCGGCCGTTTGCCGAGTGTGACGTGCTGCCAAAATTAACTTACGATTGCCACCCTTTGGCAGAGCCCCCCCCCCCCACCCGGTTATTGCAAAATGGGACCGGAGGTGTCCCAGGCTGGCTAGAAGGGATGAGTAAAACGCAAGGCTCGGGAGTGTGTGTGTGTGTGTGTGTGTGTGTGTGTGTGTGTGTGTGTGTGTGTGTGAAGCCTCCGAGCATTACTCCCCCCATCTCTTTGTGCCAGTGGTCCATGAGTTATTGCGGTTCCTGCATAGAGCAGGGAGTGTCAAACCTGGATGGTTGCCCTTGCTGGGAGATTGAACAAAAAAAAAAAATCTTTACAAACGTTTATTTATGTAACTCAATGCAAATCTTTATTCGGTCTTAGCTCAGAGTGCCGAATACAGAAATTTTAAAATAGTAGAAGTAGTGAATTAGAAAAAAGCACATAAGAAAGGAGATTGTGTATGTATATGAGTGTGCGCGCGTGTGTGTGCAGTCTATATTATATCTCTATGTTTATTATAAAGATTGATATAGTTTATATTTATAAATTAAATTTAAATCTAATTATAATTTATAAATCTCTATTATATTTCTCTCTCTCTCTCTCTCTCTCTCTCACACACACACACACACACACACACACACAGAAGGTTGAGAGGGACAGGACAGCTGTCTTCAAATCTCTGAATTCAAATCATAGCATCGATGCTTTGAACCAGGACTCTTCAAACTTGGCCCTTTTATGATTTGTGGACTTCGTACGCTGGCTGAGGAATTCTGGGAGTTGAAGTCACAAGTCATAAAAGGGCCACGTTTGAAGAGCCCTGCCCTAAAGGGTAGAAATGGTTCGCTTCCTTCAGCAGAATAAAACCCTCCCTTGTCAATCGCAAGCTTTAGACTCGCTCCTCGAGATTTAAAACTTCCCAAGTTTTCATCCGCCACAGAACTATTTCCTTGCCTAATTTGGACTGTCGATTCTTCTCTTCAGGATCCTTGCCTTTTTGTCTTTGCAGTGGGGAGAAAAAGAAAAAAAAAGAAAGTATTCAATAAAGTCCAATCCGAGGCAATCCTGGGATTGATCCGGGAGTCCGGAGACGTGCCGAGGCCAGATCCGTAGCCCAGCTCCACCTGCCAGCCTGTCCGACATGTCGGGGCCTGTGCCAAGCAGGGCCAGAGTTTACACAGATGTAAATACGCACAGACCACGGGAGTACTGGGATTATGAGTCGCATGTGGTAGAATGGGGGTAAGTGTCCTGGCCTGTTTTGCTTTTGGGTTCCAAAGCTCTTGTAACAATTGTAGATTCTGTTCTATTCTGCAATCTGTTATCTCTGTTCTGTTCCTATTTCTATTTCGTTCCATCCCCATCCCATTCTAATTTTCTGTTTTGTAATCTTTCTCTCCTCTCCTCACCCCCGCCCTAGCTTGATTTTTAGGTTTGTGCCTCACCCCAAAACTAGGGCTTATATTAGGCCCACTCCCCAAAAAATCAAGCTAGGGCTTATGTTTGGGGTAGGTCTTACTTTCAAGGAAACAGGGTATGTTGACAGGATTCTCCTGGAGAGAATGATTGAAGCTCATCCAGCAGCTCTCTCTACTCCAGTGTTTCTCAACCTTGACAATTTTAAGGCATGTGGACTTCAACTCCCAGAATTCCACAGCCAGCAACTCTTACAATCTCTCTGCCTAACCTCCTTACACGGCAGCATGGGGTGGTGTGTGTATGTGTGTGTGAGAGAGATAAAAAATAGAGGTGAGAGTTCTATGTAGGTTGCCTTGAACTCCTGCTAGAAAGGGAAGATATACCTAACACAGTGTTTCTCAACCTGGACCATTTTAAGGCATGTGGACTTCAATTCCCAGAATTCCACAGCCAGCAATGCTGGCTGTGGAATTCTGGGAGTTGAAGTCCACATGCCTTAAAATTGTCAAGGTTGAGAAACACTGCTCTACTCAAACGTGAGCTTGCTGATCGTCAACCCAGTGTCCAAACCACTGTGAGCCACCACACACAGCCACCAGCTGGGGCTAGAACTCACCATCTCCTGGTGATTGGCCCAGAGTCAACCAACTGGCTTCCAAGCCTAAGGTGAGACTAGAACTCACCATCTCCTGGTGATTGGCCCAGAGTCACCCAGCTGGCTTCTGTGCTTAAGCGGGACTAGGACTCACTGTCTCCTGGTGATTGGCCCAGAGTCACCAGTTGGCTTCTGTGCCTAAGGTGAGACTAGAACTCACCATCTCCTGGTGATTGGCCCAGAGTCACCCAGCTGGCTTCTGTGCTTAAGCGGGACTAGGACTCACTGTCTCCTGGTGATTGGCCCAGAGTCAACCAACTGGCTTCCGAGACTAAGGCGAGACTAGAACTCACCATACCCTGGTGATTGGCCCAGAGTCAACTAATTGGCTTCTGAGACTAAGGCGAGACTAGAACTCACCATACCCTGGTGATTGGCCCAGAGTCAACTAATTGGCTTCCGAGACTAAGGCGAGACTAGAACTCACCATACCCTGGTGATTGGCCCAGAGTCAACTAATTGGCTTCCGAGACTAAGGCGAGACTAGAACTCACCATCTCCTGGTGATTGGCCCAGAGTCAACCAACTGGCTTCCGTGCCTAAGGCGGGACTAGAACTCACCATCTCCTGGTGATTGGCCCAGAGTCACCCAACTGGCTTCCGTGTCTAAGGTGGGAGTAGAACTCACCATCTCCTGGTGATTGATCCGGAGTAAACCAACTGGCTTCCGAGCCTAAGGCGGGACTAGAACTCACCATCTCCTGGTAATTGGCCCAGAGTCACCCATCTGATGTCATTTCCCACAAATGTTGAACGGGCCCATCGCGTACTTAAAAGCTTTTATCCCTCTGTAGCTAAAACCATGCGTGCAGGGGTTTCACAGCCAATAAATAAGAAAATAAGAATTGGTCAGACAGTGACTTGATGCCTGCTGCAAAAGGAAAAAGGATTGATTCATTGCCTGTCCGCTCTATTACAAGGAAGCCCTTGTTGACATATTATCTGTTAGGTCAGTGTTTCTCAACCTTGACCATTTTAAGGCATGTGGACTTCAACTCCCAGAATTCCACAGCCAGCATTGCTGGCTGTGGAATTCTGGGAATTGAAGTCCACATGCCTTAAAATGGTCCAGGTTGAGAAACACTGTGTTAGGTATATCTTCCCTTTCTAGCAGGAGTTCAAGGCAACCTACATAGAACTCTCACCTCTATTTTTTATCTCTCTCACACACACATACACACACCACCCCATGCTGCCGTGTAAGGAGGTTAGGCAGAGAGATTGTAAGAGTCTCCAGGTCAGCTTCATCAGCTTCCATTGCTGAAGGGGGCCTTGTTCTTCCACTCTTGGGTCTTCATCCTCTGCTTTCTGAAAATTATTTAGGTGATTAGAGGACGATAGGCTAAAATGGCGGTTCTCAACCTATGGGTCACGACCCCATTTGGGGTCGATCGACCCTTTCACGGGGGTCGCCAAGCAAGGCTGTCCGCCATTTTTTCCCCCTTTTCCGGCGGGTGCCTCACCTCCCTTGGGTTGGGCCAGCTGATGGCCCAGCCGGTGGTCGGCCTGCTCCATCTCTGCTGCTTGCCAGCTATGCCTCGGCCGGTGCAGGGGGCGGCACGACGCATGCGCGGCACTCCCGGGCAGGAAAAGTCCTCGACATACGACTGGTTGGGTAGTCCTCGACTTACAACCGGTTGGGTAGTCCTTGACTTATGACCGGTTTAGTTCTCGACTTACAACCGGTTGGGGGGTTGTGGCATTAAAAGTTGAGAACCACTGGGCTAAAACATAAGATCAACGGTTGCAGGAACTGGGTGTGTCTAGTCCAGTGGTTCTCAACCTTTCTAATGCCGCGACCCCCATAATACAGTTCCCCATGTTGTGGTGACCCCCAACCACTTATACATCACCGGGTGCCAGGGGCGTGGCCAAAGAAAAGGGGGGAAAATGGCGGACAGCCTTGTTTGGCGACCCCCGTGAAATGGTCATTCGACCCCAAATGGGGTCCCGACCCACAGGTTGAGAACCACTGGTCTAGTCTAACAAAGAGAAGGACGAGGGGGGACATGATAGCAGCCTTCCAATATCTCAGGGGCTGCCCCAAAGAAGAGAGAGTCAACCTGTTCTCCAAAGCACCGGAAGGCAGGACAAGAAGCAACGGATGGAAACTAATCAAGGAGAGAAGCAATCACCAGGAGAACTGAAGAAAACTGATTTCTTTAAATTGATTTTCAAGAAAAAAATCAAAATTTAAAGGAAGTCCAGTTTCCTTTAAAATAAAAGCACCTTTGAGAGAAGATGTATTAGTGAGAAACATGCTAGCAGACTCTTGATTTTTCACTACTACAGACTTTAACAGTTCCCTTTTTACAATGAGTTTTTTCTTTTAACACGAGAATGCTTTTGGTTGGTGAATAATGGAGTTCTTTCCCCTTTGCATAATGCTCTGTTTTTTTTTTTGTCTTTGACATTACAGGAATCAAGACGACTATCAGCTAGTTCGGAAGCTGGGCCGGGGCAAATATAGCGAAGTCTTTGAAGCCATCAACATCACAAATAATGAAAAAGTAGTTGTTAAAATTCTGAAGGTGAGACTGCTGTGCAGTGGGGAAGATTTTACCCAATGCTCCTTAGTTAATTTCAGCCAATTTTTTATTCCTCATCATTAGTATTGCTCAATAGTAGCAACTGTGAGAAGGATCTCGGAGTCCTAGTGGACAATCACTTAAAACAGGAGCTGATTAGATGATGAGCGGTCTGGAGGCTAAAACATAAAAAGCTGGAATTGGGTATGTCTAGTTTAATGAAGAGAAGGACAGGGGGGACAGGATAGCAGCCTTCCAATATCTCAGGGGCTGCCATAAAGAAGAGGGAATAAAGCTCTTCTCCAAAGCACCAGAAGGCAGGACAAGAAGCAATGGATGGAAACTAACCAAGGAGAGGAGCAACCTAGAACTAAGGAGAAACTTCCTGACAGTGAGGACAATTAACCAGTGGAACTACCTGCCTCCAGAAGTTATGGGAGCTTCATCATTGGAGGTTTCTTAAGAAGGGACTGGACATCCCTTTGTCTGAAATGGTATAGGGTTTTCTGCCTGAGCAGGGGGTTGGACTAGATGACCTCCAAGGTCTCTTCCAACTTTATTATTATTATTATTATTAGTATTATTATTATTATTATTATTATTATTATTATTATTATTATTATTATTATTTATTCCCAGGGAAAGACAAGCAATCTGGGGAGATTCTTGTAATATAGTCAGGGGTCCCCAAACTGTAGGCCACAGCCCACTAGCAGTAACAACCAGTGGCTCATGGGCCACATAAATCATCATCATTATTATTAGAATCACAGAGGAGACTGCAAATTAATAGCTTAGTTAATTGCTCTGTCCCTTTATCATTCTTGGATAAATGGTTACCTGCCTGAGTAGGGGGTTGGATTTGATGACCTCCAAGGTCCCTTCCAACTATTATTATTATAATTATTATAATTATTATATTTTTATTTATGGTTTAATTATGGTTTGTTTGATAAATCACTTGGCTATGGTGACACCGAGTTAAGTTATAAAGGGGTAAGATAATGCTTTGCCAATAGAAGGAAATATTTGTTTCAGGACTGAATTGTTGAGTGCTTAGTGCTCTCTGTGCTTGGTTCCTTGCAGACATTTTATTATCAAACTAGGTAACATTATCAGTGCTGTTGTGTCCAAGAAAACCACCAAGCTCAGAGAGCACCAAGGACCCCACAAAAAGGATTTATTATGCCATCCATGTTCCTCGCATGGGGCCTCTGGGCGGCTGTTTTAGTGTTAACTGTGTCAACATGCTAAGAATTGGACTTTTAAAGATGTAAGCTAAATGTTATGGTGGCTAACAGCAGATGACTAGAGATATGCATGCCGTTCCTTGGAAAATGAAGGTGGAGCTAAACAAGATTAAATCAGATTTTAACCATACTTCTCAGCGCATGACTCAGAAGAAGCCTCAAGGAATGATTTTAAGGGGGATGTGAATGTGCACACACATGCAGCTGGATGTGGCAACGCAAATATTAGCAGAGTTATCTTGGTGTATCTTTTAAAAAAGAATACACATTAGTTAGAAGAGAGCTTGGAGGTC